CTTCTCTCTCTCTCTCTCTCTCTCTCTCTCTCTCTCTCTCTCTCTCTCTCTCTCTCTCTCTCTCTCTTGCTCTCTTGCTGTGCTCCATAATCCGCGGTCAGAGATGGACGCGGTCCACTGTCGTGGATTCACACGGGGGGGGTGACTACGAAATATGAAGTCGAGATATGGGGGATCCCTCGCACGAAGGAGAAACGTGGATGCGTCTAAACTCTGTTCGCCGTAGCTTCCCCCAACACCCCTGTTTTCGAAGGGACAGAGGGAGAACCCGGCCTTTAGCCGGGTGAAAATATTTTGGCAACGTTTCCGCGAAGAGTATTTATGTTCGTCTCGCATCCATTCCTTCGCGTGGCTTTATTGAAACACCGCATTAATGGAATTGCGTACGTTGTTCTTACAACGTAAATGGGCTGTACTTTTTTTGAATATATGTGTACTTTATCCTTTGTTTTGCGAACGTGGATAAATTACAGAATGAACAGAAAGAAGAAAGCGCACCCGCAACATAAAAGAAGATAAGATTTTATCGATATTTTTTTAACTCGAGAAGCATAAAAAAGGTAGACGCGAGGAAAATATCGCGGAGAGAATCGATCTTGCTTTTAGCACCCAAATTTAATTCAGCGTCGTCTGATTGAGACGAAGGGTGTTACACGCAATTTGCCGCGTTTCGCCGTAATAACTCGGCGAACCCTTCGGCGTGTTTTATGGGTATCATGCTGACAATGAGTATGCATAACTCACGGTCCAGCGAATAAGTTTTCGCGAATGGCGCGAATCTTCCTCATTCAAGAATTCGGAGATAAGAAAAGAACGATGTCTTGGATATTATAATTCATATTGTGATGACTTATATATTACATTTGTGGTGGCAATATCTTTTTCAAGAAAATAAAGAATAAATCTGAAAATTTTAAAGCTTTCCTACATGTTTTTAAACTTGATTGACAGGAATCTGTATTACGAAATTTTTTTGCATAGTATATGAAAATGAGATACTGTGCAATTTTCTAATAGTTTTAAACTGATTCAATTATGTTGGAACAAATTCTTGACTTAAAGTTGGAATAGGTTCGAAATAATAAAAAATGAAAATGGATCTAATCTGAATAATTTTGATTAAAAAATTAGAAATATAATTGATACAAGACAAATTACATTTATATTATATATTTTATATGTCTTATTTTAAATATTTTAAATAATTTATTTATTAATATGACATCAAATATTAAAACTCTAATTAGAATAGAATTTCCTATAAAATAAGGGACAAAACTGAGTTTTGAGGAAATAAAGAAATCTGAAGGACTGCTACCTGAAATAAAAGACTATCTTTTAGAATAAAGGATATATATGGTCACCATAATTATACTCCACCAAGTTTCATGTGCACGTTTGCGGAACGTGAGAAAAGTATCCTGAAGCATCTCGCGCTGTCATTAACGACAG